CATCCTGGGGTGAGCCTCTACCTCTGGAGGTGCTCTCATGGGGGGGGGCTGGCGGGGTGTGTGACCTGTCCCTGTCTGTTTGTGTAGGACGTGGACGGGCCCCGCCTGGAGCCCAGCGCAGAGCATATCGTCTGTCCTCATTTCCATCCAGTCTCTGATGACGGAGAACCCCTACCACAACGAGCCGGGCTTCGAGCAGGTAGGCCTCAGCTCTGAGGAGAGACTTTATAGCATGATCCAGCCTCCAACCCAGCCAGAACCAGCCGGACTGATCCCACTGGGCAGATGTTTTGTTAGATGATATAAGTAGCCATTCAGAGCCCATAGTTCCAAAGTCAGAGGAAGGTTTCATGTAGGAGTCAGTCAGTGTCAATCAGCTCTCAGAAGCTGCATCCCAGCTTGCGGGCTAACTTCAGATAACCTGTTGGAGGTATAAGGAGAGTCCAGTAGAACCCAGCTGTCAGACTCTGATCCCCTCTGGCCGCTGGGCTGCAGGTTTTAGAGGTTTTCCCTGTCTCACACACCTGATTCACATCAGAGAGCCATCAGCAAAGCTCCCCAACCACCAGAGGAGATCCAGTTTAATCCCAACCAGGTGGGACGAAGCAGGAAAAAGCATTTGGCGCTCATCTTAAACATAAACGTCTGGTCCGCTGTGCTGAGCCCTCACCAGTGGGGCGTAACGTGAAAATGTCCCAGAAGGTAAGATCTGACTGGGATGTGTGTCTGTCTGTCAGGAGCGGCACCCGGGGGACAGCAAGAACTACAACGAGTGCATCCGCCATGAAACCATGAGGGTGGCTGTGTGCGACATGCTGGAGGGCAAGGTTAACTGTCCTCAGGCTCTCTGGTGAGAGGCACAACCCCCACTCACATCATCGTCTCCCTCTTTAACTTTAACCTCCTGAGACCCGGCGTCCTCCTGGGAGGTCTCTGTACCATGATCCTTTTGTCTCTGACCTTTGACCTCTTGGCCACTACTGTTTGTAATCTAAACGAATGTGCTTTTACACATTTTACACCAATCATGTTCTTATTTTGGAATTTAAATGTTGCAAATAAGTCCTTTTGACCCTCAAAACCAAATAGAATAAAATCTCTAAACTAGGGATGCAAACGGTTAATCGACTTTAGATTAATTGTCGATCAAGAGGTTGCTCGATCAAAATGTATTAATCACGATTAACCGCTAGCGCTTTACTGTAACTTGA